ACCCACTGTTGAGATATGCGGGCTGCAAGTAAGATCAGTCAGCTAATGTGATTGTGTGTGTCATTTAATGATAAAGAACACTGCCACTGTTTGTGTTTGTCAGTGTTACTATTGGGGGTATGAAAGATCTGACACTGATTCTATGATGAATAAGGAAAAGGTGAAAGGGGCGGGTAGGGGGGTTAAAAAGAATATTCTGCTGTGAATCTGCCTGTGTCATCCAATGTGAGGAGATTCTGTTGAGATCTTGTGTGGTCCAATGTGAGGATATTTTGTTGAGACTTGTGTGGTCCAATGTGAGGAGATTCTGTTGAGATCTTGTGTGGTCCAATGTGAGAAGATTTTGTTGAGATCTTGTGTGGTCCAATGTGAGGAGATTTTGTTGAGATTTTGGTCCAATGTTAGGAGATTTTGTTGAGATCTTGTGTGGTCCAATGTGAGGAGATTTTGTTGAGACCTGTATCATCCAGTGTTAGGAGATTTGGTTGAGACCTTGTATCATCCAGTGTGAGGAGATGTTGTGGTCCAATGTGAGGAGATTGTGTTGAGACCTTGTGTGGTCCAATGTGAGGAGATTCTGTTGAGACCTTGTGTGGTCCAATGTGAGGAGATTGTGTTGAGACCTTGTGTGGTCCAATGTGAGGAGATTCTGTTGAGATCTTGTGTGGTCCAATGTGAGGAGATTGTGTTGAGACCTTGTGTGGTCCAATGTAAAGAGATTGTGTTAAGACCTTGTGTGATCCAATGTGAGGAGATTGTGTTGAGAATCTCATTGTGTGATCAGTCTTATGAGACTGTGCTGAGAATCTCATTGTGTGATCAGTGTTATGAGACTGTGCTGAGAATCTCATTGTGCGATCACTGTGACAAGACTGTGCTGAGAATCTCATTGTGTGATCAGTGTTATGAGGTCTTCACTGTGAGGTAGAGAATCTCATTGTGTGATCAGTGTTTCATGGTGACTGTGCTGAGAGGTCTCATGGTGTGGTCAGTGTTACAAGACTGTGCTGAGAATGGATTGTGGTGATCAGTGTTATGGAGACTGTGCTGAGAATCTCATTGTGTGATCAGTGTTCATGAGACTGTGCTGAGGCGAATCTCATTGTGTGATCAGTGTTATGAGACTGTGCTGAGAATCTCATTGTGTGATCAGTGTTATGAGACTGTGCTGAGAATCTCATTGTGTGATCAGTGTTATGAGACTGTGCTGAGAATCTCATTGTGTGATCAGTGTTATGAGACTGTGCTGAGAATCTCATTGTGTGATCAGTGTTATGAGACTGTGCTGAGAATCTCATTGTGTGGTCAGTGTTACAAGACTGTGCTGAGAATCTCATTGTGTGATCACTGTGACAAGACTGTGCTGAGAATCTCATTGTGTGATCAGTGTGACAAGACTGTGCTGAGAATCTCATTGTGTGATCAGTGTTATGAGACTGTGCTGAGAATCTCATTGTGTGATCAGTGTTATGAGACTTTGCTGAGAATCTCATTGTGTGATCAGTGTTATGAGACTGTGCTGAGAATCTCATTGTGTGATCAGTGTGACAAGACTGTGTGAGAGAATCTCATTGTGTGATCAGTGTGACAAGACTGTGCTGAGAATCTCATTGTGTGATCAGTGTTATGAGACTGTGCTGAGAATCTTGTTGTGTGATCAGTGTTATGAGATTGTGCTGAGAATCTCATTGTGTGATCCAGTGTTATGAGACTGTGCTGTGAATCTCATTGTGTGATCAGTGTTATGAGACTGTGCTGAGAATCTCTTGTGTGATCAGTGTGATAAGACTGTGCTGAGAATCTCATTGTGTGATCAGTGTGACAAGAGACTTGTGCTGAGAATCTCATTGTGTGATCCAGTGTGACAAGACTGTGCTGAGAATCTCATTGTGTGATCAGTGTGATATGAGACTGTGCTGAGAATCTCATTGTGTGATCAGTGTTATGAGACTGTGTTGAGAATCTCATTGTGGTCCAATGTTATGAGACTGTGTTGAGAATCTCATTGTGGGATCAGTGTTATGAGACTGTGCTGAGAATCTCATTGTGTGATCAGTGTGATATTGTGAAGACTGTGCTGAGAATCTCATTGTGTGATCAGTGTTATGAGACTGTGCTGAGAATCTCATTGTGTGATCAGTGTTATGAGACTGTGCTGAGAATCTCATTGTGTGATCAGTGTTATGAGACTGTGCTGAGAATCTCATTGTGTGATCAGTGTTATGAGACTGTGCTGAGAATCTCATTGTGTGATCAGTGTGACAAGACTGTGCTGAGAATCTCATTGTGTGATCAGTGTGACAAGACTGTGCGGAGAATCTCATTGTGTGATCAGTGTGAAAAGACTGTGCGGAGAATCTCATTGTGTGATCAGTGTGACAAGACTGTGCTGAGAATCTCATTGTGTGATCAGTGTTATGAGACTGTGCTGAGAATCTCATTGTGTGATCAGTGTGACAAGACTGTGCTGAGAATCTCATTGTGTGATCACTGTGACAAGACTGTGCTGAGAATCTCATTGTGTGATCAGTGTTATGAGACTGTGCTGAGAATCTCATTGTGTGATCAGTGTTATGAGACTGTGCTGAGAATCTCATTGTGTGATCAGTGTGACAAGACTGTGCTGAGAATCTCATTGTGTGATCACTGTGACAAGACTGTGCTGAGAATCTCATTGTGTGATCAGTGTTATGAGATTGTGCTGAGAATCTCATTGTGTGATCAGTGTTATGAGACTGTGCTGAGAATCTCATTGTGTGATCAGTGTGACAAGACTGTGCTGAGAATCTCATTGTGTGATCAGTGTGACAAGACTGTGCTGAGAATCTCATTGTTGTGATCAGTGTTATGAGACTGTGCTGAGAATCTCATTGTGTGATCAGTGTTATGAGACTGTGCTGAGAATCTCATTGTGTGATCAGTGTTATGAGACTGTGCTGAGAATCTCATTGTGTGATCACTGTGACAAGACTGTGCTGAGAATCTCATTGTGTGGTCAGTGTGACAAGACTGTGCTGAGAATCTCATATTGTGGTCAGTGTGACAAGACTGTGCTGAGAATCTCATATTGTGATCAATGTGTCAAGACTGTGTTGAGAATCTCATTGTGTGATCAGTGTGACAAGACTGTGCTGAGAATCTCATTGTGTGATCAGTGTGACAAGACTGTGCTGAGAATCTCATTGTGTGATCAGTGTTATGAGACTGTGCTGAGAATCTCATTGTGTGATCAGTGTTATGAGACTGTGCTGAGAATCTCATTGTGTGATCAGTGTTATGAGACTGTGCTGAGAATCTCATTGTGTGATCAGTGTTATGAGACTGTGCTGAGAATCTCATTGTGTGATCAGTGTTATGAGACTGTGCTGAGAATCTCATTGTGTGATCAGTGTTATGAGACTGTGCTGAGAATCTCATTGTGTGATCAGTGTTATGAGACTGTGCTGAGAATCTCATTGTGTGATCAGTGTTATGAGACTGTGCTGAGAATCTCATTGTGTGATCAGTGTGACAAGACTGTGCTGAGAATCTCATTGTGTGATCAGTGTGACAAGACTGTGCGGAGAATCTCATTGTGTGATCAGTGTGACAAGTCTGTGCTGAGAATCTCATTGTGTGATCAGTGTGACAAGACTGTGCTGAGAATCTCATTGTGTGATCAGTGTTATGAGACTGTGCTGAGAATCTCATTGTGTGATCAGTGTTATGAGACTGTGCTGAGAATCTCATTGTGTTATCAGTGTGACAAGACTGTGCTGAGAATCTCATTGTGTGATCAGTGTGACAAGACTGTGCTGAGAATCTCATTGTGTGATCAGTGTTATGAGACTGTGCTGAGAATCTCATTGTGTGATCAGTGTTATGAGACTGTGCTGAGAATCTCATTGTGTGATCAGTGTTATGAGACTGTGCTGAGAATCTCATTGTGTGATCACTGTGACAAGACTGTGCTGAGAATCTCATTGTGTGGTCAGTGTGACAAGACTGTGCTGAGAATCTCATATTGTGGTCAGTGTGACAAGACTGTGCTGAGAATCTCATATTGTGATCACTGTGTCAAGACTTTGTTGAGAATCTCATTGTGTGATCAGTGTGACAAGACTGTGCTGAGAATCTCATTGTGTGATCAGTGTTATGAGACTGTGCTGAGAATCTCATTGTGTGATCAGTGTTATGAGACTGTGCTGAGAATCTCATTGTGTGATCAGTGTTATGAGACTGTGCTGAGAATCTCATTGTGTGATCACTGTGACAAGACTGTGCTTAGAATCTCATTGTGTGGTCAGTGTGACAAGACTGTGCTGAGAATCTCATATTGTGGTCAGTGTGACAAGACTGTGCTGAGAATCTCATATTGTGATCACTGTGTCAAGACTGTTTTGAGAATCTCATTGTGTGATCAGTGTGACAAGACTGTGCTGAGAATCCCATTGTGTGATCACTGTGACAAGACTGTGTTGAGAATCTCATTGTGTGATCAGTGTGACAAGACTGTGCTGAGAATCTCATTGTGTGATCACTGTGACAAGACTGCTGAGAATCTCATTGTGTGATCAGTGTGACAAGACTGCTGAGAATCCCATTGTGTGATCACTGTGACAAGACTGTGTTGAGAATCTCATTGTGTGATCAGTGTGACAAGACTGTGCTGAGAATCTCATTGTGTGATCAGTGTGACAAGACTGTGCTGAGAATCTCATTGTGTGATCAGTGTGACAAGACTGTGCTGAGAATCTCATTGTGTGATCAGTGTGACAAGACTGTGCTGAGAATCTCATTGTGTGATCAGTGTGACAAGACTGCTGAGAATCTCATTGTGTGATCAGTGTGACAAGACTATGTTGAGAATCTCATTGTGTGGTCAATGTAAGAAGATTGGAGTACTTACAGAAATATCTGGGGCAGATGCAGTGATGTTTGACAAACCACACAATACTTAAAACCAGTGTTAAACAGCGATTCTTTTTCATTTCAAAATATGATCTGATAATGTCATGTAGGTAAATATGTCAGACGAGGACTGGCCGATTGTGGCCACCATCACTGGAAGTGCATTCCATGGACCACAGACTCTCCTGGCAAGAGCCCATGTGATAACCAACTATCCGCTGACATTCAAACCTTTGAAAGAAGAGGAGATATTGGTAAGTATAGTTTTCTGAGTTTGACATAGATCGTTCTTCCTCTTTAATTTGCTGGGGCTCAGCTAGGAACTGAACCCTACCATGCATGTCAAAAGAGGCATGGATTTATGACCTGGCTGCTCCTAGTGAGTGTCATCCATTTGTGTCCTCGTGCACCGACAATCATTTATTCAGATTACTGTTTGGACCAAGCACTCATTGTCAGTGTGTCATGATGACATGGGAAGGTTTCTTAACCATTTATCTACACCTTAAATCATTATCTTTTTAATGTGTCATCTTCACTTTTTATCGTCACCTCTTTTTATATTTTCATCTTTCTCATACTTGAACTTTAAATTTCTATATTTCTCTTCTTTATTTACCTTGTAACTTTACCTTTTTTATGGTTAGATTTTACCAGTGCTTTTTTCTGATACTCACCTCAAAGTGTTCAATAAATGAAGTGTCTTTTACAGTAGAGCTGAAGAAATTATGCCTTAAAAGATTTTTTTTTTAAAATCCCAAGTGTCAAAAACCAGAGTGTCACAACTGAGTACTGTTGTAAACTACAACGGGAGAAAAAAAAAGCTGCTGCATTTTACACAGATGATTTTTTCATGGCTATATTTAAAAATTTATTTATAGCAGTTAAAGACAAAGAGACACAAGTGTTTTCCTCATCATTAACTTTATCTGTCTTCAGGAAGTTATAATAATTTGTTTTTTAATGATTAATGCTTTCTTTTGTTCACAGGGAAAACTCATCCTTACAAACAAAAGTGATGGATCTGAGCAAGTATTTGAATTAATTGGCAAGGGCGAGAAGCCTCTTCCTTTGGATCAGATACAACTAACATGTGGTGCCAGGGCCAGGTAAGACAATCATCTAATCAGATACAACTAACGTTTGGTGCCAGGGCTAGGTAAGACAATCATCCAATCTGATACAACTAACATGTGGTGCCAAGGCCAGGTAAGACGATCATCCAATCAGATACAACTAACATGTGGTGCCAGGTAAGACAATCATCCAATCAGATACAACTAACATGCGGTGCCAAGGCCAGGTAAGACAATCATCCAATCAGATACAACTAACATTTGGTGCCAGGGCCAGGTAAGACAATCATCCAATCAGATACAACTGATATGTGGTTCCAGGGCCAGGTAAGGCAATCATCCAATCAGATACAACTAACATGTGGTGCCAGAGCCAAGTAAGACAATCATCCAGACAAAAACCATTTATTTCTTGTCCAACCAGAGAAAAGTAAAAATTACACATAGAAATAGATTACTTATTTTTTAAATAAAGATATTATTTATACAGACGGTTCAGTATCAAGAGGCAAAAGAAGTGCTTGGTGTTTCTTAGCAAAGGTTAATGGTCGAGGTTTGGTGCAGGAGAGCCTAGCATATGATGCCACAACATCCAGCTTAAAGAATAGAGGTGGAGGTGATCACGGCAGCTTTTGGCTGGTCAGGGAACATGACACAAACACACATCATGATTGTAACTGACTCAGAAAGCATGCTGAGGAAGGTCAGGACAGGTGTGCTTCATGCAGAGTGGCATGCTTCATTGTGCAGGACAGGGGTGAGAAGAATTGTCTTGATTTTTTCTCGAGACATGCAGGTATGTTGGGAAATGAACAGGCAGGCAGACTAGCTGGTTCTGCACATTGTTTTTGTTTTGTGCATAAATGACATTGTTTTTGTTTTGTGCATTATTGATATTATTTTTGTTTTGTGCATAAATGACATTGTTTATGCTTTGTACATAAATGACATTGTGTGTTGTGCATAAATGACATTCCTTATGTGTTGTGCATAAATGACATTGTTTATGCTTTGTGCATTAATGATATTGCTTCTGTAGTATGCAAAAAATGACATTGTGCATAAATTACATTGTTCCTATTTTGTGTATAAATGACATTGTTCCTGTTTTGTGCATAAATGACATTGTTCTTGTTTTGTGCATAAATGACATTGTTTATGTTTTGTGCATAAATGACATTGTTTATGTTTTATACAGTTTGCATCACACAGTGAAAGTGCCCAATGTCACCAGTAAAAGGTTAACCTACAGGGTAAGTGGTGCCAGTTTGTGTTGTCCTGTGAAACACATCTGATCATTGTTAATGGTAGTGTTTGAAATGTTGATATCTGTAGCTTTAGGTGATTTGACATTCTGCAAATGATTGACAGTTAACTTTTAACTGTTTGAAATAAATCTATAATAGACAGATTTGTCCTGTTTTTGAAACACATTGGATAGACCACTTGTTTTTGTTACTGTTGGTTTTTTCCCTTATACTTCTCCTTCCTTTCTTTTTCGTCACTGTTAACTTTTAACTGCTTAAAAAAGTCAATCCTAGACCAGTCTGTACTGTATTCTTTTAAACACATTGATTCCAGATAGCGCCCGTATGTCACTGGGGCCCTCACGGGAAGCAAAGAATAGTGACACTGTACCCTACCAGGCATGTCGTAAGAGGCGACTAAGGGTAGGGTTGGGCTTGAGGTAGGCTACCTATTCCTGTAAAAACAATAGTCACAAAAACTAACCAACCATGGATAAGTAAAAAAAAAAAAAAGAAGCAAGTTAAACACAGCCAACCAAGAGAAGGGGAGGCTCTTCAAGCAGAAAAAGTATGACACAGTGTGGAGAAAGCCCAAAGGAGTCTGGATTGTTGACATACCTCTTCTCAGCAAGGAAAACCTCCAGAATTGGCACCTGGAATGTTAGAACTCTCTATGATATAGGGAGAACAATAAAAGTAGTAAAGGAAATAAAACATTGTAAAATTAGTATTTTAGGGTTATGTAAAACTAGATGGACACATGTAGCTAGACAGTAGACCTCTGATGCTTCTGTACACATGGAGCTACACAGTAGACCTCTGATGCTTCTGTACACATGTAGCTAGACAGTAGACCTCTGATGCTTCTGTACAGTAGCTAGACACCTCTGATGCTTCTGTACACATGGAGCTAGACAGTAGACCTCTGATGCTTCTGTACACATGGAGCTACACAGTAGACCTCTGATGCTTCTGTACACATGTAGCTAGACAGTAGACCTCTGATGCTTCTGTACACATGGAGCTAGACAGTAGACCTCTGATGCTTCCGTACACATGAAGCTAGACAGTAGACCTCTGATGCTTCTGTACACATGTAGCTAGACAGTAGACCTTTGATGCTTCTGTACACATGGAGCTACACAGTAGACCTCTGATGCTTCTGTACACATGTAGAGCAGTAGACCTTTGATGCTTCTGTACACATGGACAGTAGACCTCTGATGCTTCTGTACACATGTAGCTAGACAGTAGACCTTTGATGCTTCTGTACACATGGAGCTAGACAGTAGACCTTTGATGCTTCTGTACACATGTAGCTAGACAGTAGACCTTTGATGCTTCTGTACACATGTAGCTAGACAGTAGACCTTTGATGCTTCTGTACACATGTAGCTAGACAGTAGACCTCTGATGCTTCTGTACACATGTAGCTAGACAGTAGACCTCTGATGCTTCTGTACACATGGAGCTAGACAGTAGACCTCTGATGCTTCTGTACATATGAAGCTAGACAGTAGACCTCTGATGCTTCTGTACACATGTAGCTAGACAGTAGACCTTTGATGCTTCTGTACACATGTAGCTAGACAGTAGACCTCTGATGCTTTTGTACACATGTAGCTAGACAGTAGACCTCTGATGCTTCGGTATACATGTAGCTAGACAGTAGACCTCTGATGCTTCTGTACACATGGAGCTAGACAGTAGACCTCTGATGCTTCCGTACACATGTAGCTAGACAGTAGACCTCTGATGCTTCTGTACACATGAAGCTAGACAGTAGACCTCTGATGCTTCTGTACACATGGAGCTAGACAGTAGACCTCTGATGCTTCTGTACACATGGAGCTAGACAGTAGACCTCTGATGCTTCTGTACACATGAAGCTAGACAGTAGACCTCTGATGCTTCTGTACACATGGAGCTAGACAGTAGACCTCTGATGCTTCTGTACACATGAAGCTAGACAGTAGACCTCTGATGCTTCTGTACACATGAAGCTAGACAGTAGACCTCTGATGCTTCTGTACACATGGAGCTAGACAGTAGACCTCTGATGCTTCTGTACACATGTAGCTAGACAGTAGACCTCTGATGCTTCCGTACACATGGAGCTAGACAGTAGACCTCTGATGCTTCTGTACACATGTAGCTAGACAGTAGACCTCTGATGCTTCTGTACACATGTAGCTAGACAGTAGACCTCTGATGCTTCTGTACACATGTAGCTAGACAGTAGACTTTTGATGCTTCTGTACACGTGGAGTTAGACAGTAGACCTCTGATGCTTCTGTACACATGTAGCTAGACAGTAGACTTTTGATGCTTCTGTACACGTGGAGTTAGACAGTAGACCTCTGATGCTTCTGTACACATGTCCCAACAACCTCACTGTGTGCCAGTTATCTCCTTCTCTTTCTCCTCCCTCCACTTCAGCTTTAAGAATAAAATCTCTCTCCTGTCCTTCAGGTGGAGTCTGACCTTCCATTCATCACTGGCCAGCAGACGATCACTGTTCTGCCACATCAGACAGGAAGTTACAATATGGTGATCACTCCCAATCGGAGGGGACAGTTCAAGGGAATTTTGGCTTTCATTGCTGGGAAGTGTCGAGTTAAGTAAGTCAGTTTGTTTGTTTGAGGTAAAAAAAGTTATCGTCCACATCCAACATCAAAGCATTCTAGACCTGCTCGGTCTTACTCAGAAGATATTGACAAATATGCACGCTTTTAGTTCCAGTTGCCATCAGATTACACGTGTCTTCTCCGCCCTCCACCAGACTCCTTGTTAGTGCCGCTTCAATCAGTCAAAGCCACCTATAGTATCTTAGTTTATGTTTCTTGACCTTTCAAGTAAGTATAAGATACATCCATCATGGCCAATGGTCATCTCAATGAATATGACAAATATATCAGTTCTTGGATGTAACTGAATGTTGCCTGTTTACAGCATAGCTGTGATATTTGCACCTTTCAGCAAACCTCAAAGTTATTCAGCTATTTGTTTGTTTTGATGAGCTTTCCCCTTCAGTGTCTTAAATGAATGAGCTGATATTGTTCTGTGTCATCATTATTTTCATCAATTGCTTTCTCTGCTTTATTGTTTTATTTTTAAAGAACCAAGATTGACATTTTTTTTTCTGGGCTTCTGGGGGTTAGAAAAAGGACCAGTTTGCAAAAAAAAGAGGTGGGGTTGTTCTCTAGACTAGTGGGGGGAGAAAATAGGGGCAACAACTTTGTTCTCTAGACTAGTGAGGATGGTGAAGAGAAAATAGAATATGTTTGCAACAACTAGTAGGATGAAGAGAAATAGAATAAGGAAACTAGTGAAGGTGAACATAGAATTTTTGCAACAACCTTGTTCTCTAGACTAGTGAGATGGTGATGAATATGTGAAGAAAGTGAGATGGTGAGAATATGTTTGCAACAACTTTGTTCTCTAGACTAGTGTCTGTCCAGCATGCTCCACAATGAGGTGAAGGGAGGTCTTAGTAAGTGTATATCCAAACATGACCCACCAACATGTTTGGATCCCAACACTGATTTATTTCAATATTGTCTTGTTCCTGACCCCCCCCCCCATCCCCCCACCCCCACCCTTTCCATTGTGTTCACAGTGAGACAGACAGTGATGAGGATGCAGAACTTGAGAAAGATGAAGAGTCAGAATTTCATGGCTACAGGATGTGGTACTCCCTGGAAGTAGATGTGAAAGCCCCACTTCCTGAGAAGACAGTGACAGTTGTCTGTGACTGTTATGTAAGGATGACTTATGAACATATTTTGTCTGTATATGTGTCTGTATATATGTCTGTATATATGTCTGTATATTCATCTGTATATGTGTCTATGTATGTGTTTGTATATGTGTCTGTATATGTGTCTGTGTATGTGTTTGTATATGTGTCTGTGTATGTGTTTGTTTATGTGTCTGTGTATGTGTCTGTGTTTATGTGTGTATATTTGTCTGTATATGTGTCTGTTTATATGTCTATATATATATATATATATGAATGTCTGCATATGTGTCCGTATATGTGTCTGTGTGTATGTCTATATATGTGTGTGTATATGTCTGTATATATGTCTGTCTATTCTTAGTTGTGTAGGAAAATTGATGGAGAAACTAGTAAATAAAAGACTAACATGGTTCTTGGAGACACACTCGGTAATCACCACCACGCAGACAGGATACAGACAGCACAGAGAAATACAGAGGACCAGTTGACATATCTGACACAGGAAATTGAGAATGCCTTCCAGGAAAAAAAGAAAGTTCTTGCTGTCTTCTTTGACCTCTCTCGTGCTTTTGATACAGTTTGGAAAGAAGGCCTACAACTAAAACTGCTACAGGCAGGAGTTGTACACAACGCAGAGCCAGATTCATAATTGATGGATACATCGGCAAACTAGCAAAACTAAGAGAAGGAGTTCCCCAGGGCAGTGCAATAGCACCAACTCTGTTCTTGGTTTATATAAATGATATCACAGCAACCTGCCACCAGCACGTTTCTAATACCCTACATGCCGATGACTTTGCAGTTTGGATAGCCTCCGAATACAATACCACAGCCTCATATCTGTTACAGAAAACTGTGGAAAATGTAGAAGCCTGGACCGAAAAGTGGGGTCTAAAGCTAAATAATTCAAAAAGCACAGCATCACTTTTCTCTCTCTCCCCCCCCCAAAAAAAAATCGAAATTTGGATAAAAAACCAGCTCATTCCACAGACTGACACTCCTACCTTTTTTGGCGTTACACTTGATTTGCGACTAACTTGGAAGTCACATGTAGAAGCAGTACAGGGAAAAGCATTCAAGAAGCTTGCAGTGATGAAAAAATTAGCGGGTACCACATGGGGCGCTAACTCCTAAAACAAGTATATACTGGAGCAGTCAGGCCAGTCATGAAATATGCTTCCACTGCATGGGCTGCAGCAGCCAAGACAACAATGGGAAAACTGGACAAGGTTCAGAATATGGGATTAAGGATTGTTCTCGGAGCCATGAAAACCACCCCCATCAGAGAGATAGAAAGGATAGCAGATACTGAACCACTCGAACTCAGAAGACAATACAAAACTTTTTTACAGTATGAGAAATTAAAAAGACTTCAAAGTCACCCACTGCATTTTAAATTTCAAGAGAGAACAAAAAACAGACTGAAGCGTCAGAGCCCCAACCACCTTGCTAGAGAACTGTACAGACAGCACCAAGATCTGCTTGAGAGAGATGTTGCACTGTGCGAAAAACTTAGGCCAGAACCATGGACAAGCAAGCCAGAGAAAGCAAATGTAGTCCTAAAGGTACCAGGAATCACTTCAAAAGATGCCCAGACGGAGACACAACAGAGAACCTTGGCTCTTGCTATGCTTGATTAGAAGTATCCAAACACCACTTGGACTCAGGTTTTCACCGACGGCTCTGCTACAGATGCAGTCAGAAAGGGGAGTTGTGGAATTTACATTAAACCCCCTAGCAGTAGAGCAGAAACTCTCTCTCTCTACCAGCAGGTGACATCTGCACTAACTTCAGAGCTGAGGCAACTGCCCTCCTTTCTGCAGTCCAACATCTCAACACTCAAGACCACAGAGGGCACAAAATTGTTATACTTAGTAACTCATTGTCTGTTCTCCAAGCACTATCAAGCAAAAAACAAGACAAACTAATTGCAGATTTAAGGACCAACATTGGCTCACTCTCCAAGGAAGCTGAACTGGTCTTGCAGTGGATACCAGCCCACTGTGGTATTCAAGGAAATGAGAGAGCAGATGAGTTGGCAAAAGCTGGGAGTAATCTTCCACAACCTCATCCACCACACAGCTACAAGGAAACCAAAACAGCGCTAAAGCAGTCTTTCAAGCGGTAGTGGAGAAGGCAGAATGGAGATTACAGACCAGAGAGTGACAGCATAAACAAACTCAACAGGAAGGAACAAACATCAATTTTTAGACTTCGGACTGGACACTGCGGTCTTTGAGCACACTTGTACAGGATAGGCATAAAAGAATCTGCAGCCTGCGATTGTGGAGCAGAAAGACAGACCCCAGAGCATATACTGCAGTACTGCCCTAACCTCTCCCAGCAAAGACTGTGGATCTGGCCCAAGGGAGCCACATTGCAAGAGAAGAGAAATGGGGGACCGGTGGCGACCTTAAACGCACAATCCTATTTGTGACCCAGACGGGTCTCAATGTTTAGCATGACTGATTTCGAACGCAGAAGAAGAAGAAGAAGTCTGTCTATGTATGTATATATTTTTATATTTATGTCTGTATATGTGTCTCTATATGTCTGTGTATATGTCTATATATATGTGTCTGGATATACATATGTTTATATACTGTATAGATTAGGGCTATTCTGGAGGATTATGGGATACAGGGACAGTTGCTAGATAGCATTGTGTCTACGCACCGGACTTCCCAAAGCGGAGTGAGAACACAAGAAGGCATATCTGATATGTTTACAATCAATACAAGGGTGAGGTGATGATGTGTGCTGACCTATTTACTTTATACATTAATAGAACATCAAAAGAAGCCCGCATTAAAGCAGACGACCCAGAAAATAAGAAACTTTACTTTCCAGATGAAGAATGTCTGTATAAATGTCTTGTCTGTATAAATGTCTTGTCTGTATCATGCTGGTACCATGTGAAAGTCCCTTCAGTGCATTCTCATTACTGTTATTTGTTAGTTTACAAAATGCCCGATGCACCCATATGACTTCCTGCTGTAAAAAGGTCACAATGAAGTCTGACGTTTCACCCAACTACCGAGTGTTTCAGAGATCTCAATGTTCAAATGAAAATTTTCTCAAAACAAGGATTCAACATTAAGGTCACTTTGGTACAGTGTCAGCAATGTATTTATATATATATATATATGTGTGCGTGCGTGCGTGTGTGCATGTGCGCCGTGCGTGATGCCCATTTAAAAAAAAAACATTACTGTTAGCTAGATTTTTCTAATTCAATTTATTTTTTTTTCATTTGTTATTTTTGTTGTTGTTGTTAAACATATACATATATTTTAAAAATTCAGAATAAGACTCTTGTGGATTTTATTGTTCGCAACCCAACACCAAAGGAGATAACTCTGAAAGCATCTATTAGAGGTTCTGAACTGACAGGGCCTCTCTCAATCACTTTGGACCCAGGTGTGAAAGATGTCTACTCACTGACTTTTGCTCCAACACAAGCTGGCGAGTCAAGGGGAAGGTATGCATTTTTAGAAACAGTGACATCTCTAGCAGTGGGTCCTGCTGGGAAAACTTTTTAGAAGAAGAAGAAGAAGAACAAGAACAAGAACAAGAAGAAGAAGGAGGAGGAGGAAAAGAAGAAGAAGAAGAAGGAGGAGGAGGAAAAGAAGAAGGAGGAGGAAGGAAAGAAGAAGAAGAAGAAGAAGAAGAAGAAGAAGAAAGAAGAAGAAAGGAAGAAAAAGAAGAAGAAGAAGAGAAGAAGAAGAGAAGAAGAAGAAGAGAAGAAGAAGAGGAGGAGGAGGAGGAGGAGGAGGAGGCAGAAGAAGAAGAAGAAGAAAGAAAGAAGAAGAAGAAGAATTAAGAACTAGAAACAGAAGGAAGAAGAAGAGCAGAAGAAGAAGCAAGTCAGAAGAAGAAGAAGAAGAAGAAGAACAGGAAGAAGAACGAGAAGTAAACAAGAACAAGAAGAAGAAACAAGAAGAAGAAGAAGAAGAGGAAGAAGAACAAACAACAACAAGAAGAAGAGGAACAACAAGAAGAAGAGGAATCAACAAGAATAAGAACAAGAAGGAGAAGAACAAGAAGGAGAAGAAGAAGGAGGAGAAGAAGGAGGAGAAGAAGGAGAAGAAGGTAGGAGAAGAAGGAGGAAGCAGAAAGAATAAGAAGAAGAATAAGAAGAAGAAGAACAAGAAATAAAGAAGAATAAGAAGAAGAAGAAGGAGAAGAAGAAGAAGAAAAGAAGAAGCAGGAGAAGCATTGAGAAGAAGGAGAAGAAGAAGAAGAAGAAGAAGAAGAAGAAGAAGAAGAAGAAGAAGAAGAAGAAGAAGAAGAAGAAGAAGAAGAAGAAGAAGAAGAAGAAGAAGAAGAAGAAGAAGAAGAAGAAGAAGAAGAAGAAGAAGAAGAAGAAGAAAAAGGAGAAGGTTCATTGACATTACACTAGCAGTTTTTTTTGTCTTTTAAAAAAAGTCTTAATGGTTGTCGGCTCTGTGGTTAAGTCGATGCGAACGCTTCGTAATGCGGAGGTGCCGGGTTCAATCCCAGCTGGGAGCCATTGCGCCATGCGTTGGTTTCGACAGTGGTATCAAGAAAGCCGACCGTCCAGAAAGCAATGGCAAACTACTAGACATAAATTTGCCTTGAGAAAACACACAACAGCCAGGGGCTGCTGGGGTTGGTTCTGCAACGTCCTGTAAACGATACGCAACTAACCTAACTAGCAGTTTTTTTCTTTTTTTTTAATCAACATTATAGCATTTGTTTTATTTCAGCTGATTCACGAACACTTAACATTGTTGTAGATTTTTCTTCCTTATCTTAATAGATAACGAACAGGCAACTATGAGCAAACACATAAATAATATAATCCCCCCAGCAAAGTCACTTTAAATGATTATTTGTTATTAATATTTCAGCCTAATATTTTTCCACGAAGACGTTGGAGAGTTTTGGTATAACTTGCTTCTGAAAGCAGAGCCACCTGCACCAAAATCATTGCCTAATATGGAATGTGAACTAGGAAGGTGAGTAACCTTGATGGAATTTCACAGAATTTTTTTTGGGTTGCCAGTGTTTTAGATTTTTAGCATTGTGTCATTCTTGAAATTCTGGCTTACCTGGTATATGTTGTTATTTCTGAAGCCGCTCGCTATGGCAACGCTTTGATCCTAAACTACTGGCAGTCACAACAGGAAACCTATTTAAAAAAAAAAAAATCCGTGGCCGTTAACTCTTTGAGTCCCAGGGGGTTTTGCACCAGAGGCCCAAGGGGGGTAATATGATTTTGACTTTTAACAAATGCAGCACTTTAAAACAAGCCACACAACTGCAGCTGATGTCCAACATACACATATCATACATAAAATTAAACATAAATGGATAAGGATTAATATTAGCATACTGCTACAACAAACAGTTATACCGTTAGTTAGTTTTTAGTAGAGAAAACAGTGACTTAGTTTGAGAGGTGAGTAAATTATGAACAAGTTTTTCCCACTTACCTAAAAGCTGATCCCAAAATTCTTGATATAGTATATCCAAAATGCATCACAAAGGAAGGTACACCACTTATAAGTATGCACAGCCAATATTAAAACAAAAATGTGCAATAGTTGTTGTTCCATAGCAATTTTAAAAACACTACCATAACACGTCAAAATATATTCTCCCAGTGGCACAAACAGTGAATTTTCTAAAAAACAATTGAATTCCTCACATAGAAAAAACTGTAAAGGCATTGTAAACAGTCAATCTGTTCATAGATATATATCTATGGTTTTAGAAGATATGGATAGTAGTACTAGAAGCGCTGACATTTGGATTAGCTGGTGTCGCGTTACGAGGTGCTTCTCTTGTGTTGCCAAGGCAGAATTAGTCAGTTTTGTTCTCTTAGCAGGAGGTAAATTACGCATACATCCTCATCAAAACTTGACTCGTCAACGGTTTGGGGAAATTTCACGTTTCTACTATCATTATCCAACTCCACATTACTTTAATCGATCCACTGTTTTATCAAATATGATGATTCTAAAGCAGTAAATCGCTTTGATGGGCGTGAAGAGGATGACTGATTGGACATATTGTTTTCAGACAATTGTTTGGTAACGTAGTAGACCACACAAATATCGATATAAAGCGTTAAAAACTCACCAGACCCAAACGAATTTACTCCACGTGTGTTCACTACATACTTAAGAACCGGAAAAGAAGTTTAAATTGAGCGGTTCGCGTGTAATTACCGATAAGTGGTAAATTAAAAACCGTCACACGTCATGCGCTGCTTGGGCCGCCAAGTAGTAAAAAATGAGCGCGTGATGCGTTCCTTGGGACTCAAAGAGTTAAACAAAAAATAGCTCGTATATCCAGAATTCCCAAAATGACCACTTACATTTTCTTTTTGCTTTTCTTGTAATTTCTGTTTTTGATGGTTAAACCATCTGGCAAGTTCTTGTAATCAGTTTGACTATTCTGGGGGAGCTCTTTCTTTTCCCTTTCGTGTTGGTTCAGAGAGCCAGTCTATTCTTCTGAGCTCACTGTAGTAGACAATACAGACACATGATGACATTCTTCAGAAAGGAAGAACCATCAACATCAAAGTTGATGAACATCAGTTAAAGCAGGCCAAGGACTTTACATATCTGGGCAGCATTTTTTCTAAGACAGAGGCATTTTCATTCTGTCTCTTATGCTACCTAATGTGGTGAAGAATGGTAATCTTTTCCTGTCAGTCGTGAGTGTGCTAGCCATGTTGGGTCAACCCTTGTTCAAACAAAGTTTGTGCTAATAGAAACAGATAATAAAGAGATGAAAGTCTTTTGAACTGGCAGTCATGTCTAAGAAAAATAGTCTTCCATATCATGTTGCCAAATTAGCTAATGTCCGCTCTCATAAACTTCCTCTCTAACTTGCCTGTTGTCACAATGTACTCCTGTTGTCACAGTCTACTACAGTTATCATGATGTACCCCTGTTGTTCCAGTGTGCTCCAGTTTTCCCTATGTTATACCAGAAGTATGTGGACTCTCTTTTTGTTCTGTCAGTGATTAGTTCTCATTATGAGTGAATTCTTAACCCTACCAGACCTGAGGCCCTCAACCTAACTGCCCCCTATACCTGAGCTCCTGTGCATTATCGCCAAAAAAAAAAAAAAAAAAACATGATATACACAAATATTAGTTACATGCAAACAAGTGGCTAGAATAAGATGAAACCTGAGACTTTGTAGAAAATAGGTTTATCTTTTATCTAGTGCCAATATTTCACATTTGTGTGCCAATCCACCAGCAGGATCAGCCTTGTTTCACAAAGTGAAAACCAGATGTTGCTGTTTGAGGGACACACCCCCTTCTCCTACTAACGATCTATTTCTAGATTTATAATTTTCAAGAATTTCCTCATCATTTGAGTTGACTGTGTCAACTGGGAACGTATTCTTCATGAAATTATGACTCCGCAGAGTCTGAATCAACTAAAGTATCGATCACCTGTTGGACTGTGAAAAGCCTAGACCTACTTCACTTGTCTAAAGCAAAATAAATTAAATGGCATTGGTTTATGATGTTGCAACCAAGAATTGGGTGCTATGATGAAAATGCATCAGTCAATAAATTCAATAGGCATATATTAAATGACGGTGTTCTGATGAAATTAATTCTTATGAATAAGAATGATACAAAGCTTTGTATAATAGAGAAATTGAACCTCAGACAGATCTCAATTTGAGATTGCCTATCTTTTTCCAGCTCGTCATCCCCCTACTTAAGTAGGTTGTTACACTCAGACTGTCTGCAAAGAATAGATGCTGGCTACAGTGCTCTTCAATGAGCCAACATTGATCTGAATTGTCTCACACCACAGCTGAAATGAAGGGAATGCTTTACAGAATATCCCTGGCAGACTGTCCAACATTACTTCTTTTTGTATCCTACTTGTTTCCTTCACCAAAACCAAATAAAAAGAGCACTTGATATGGGGGAAAACAACAGCTGCTGAAATACTTGTGTGTACCATTCCTAGTCTTGACAGTTTTTTTGCCATGGCATGGAAAGGTGTCAGCTCAGAAGCTGATACAAGCTGTTGAAGACCACAGGATCTGGAGAAGGATGATCTTCTGTGCCAGACGGCAAAGCACATTATGACGATAAAACAAATATAGACAATGATGCATCACTCACTAGATGGCACTGGGCTGAAGGGTTCGAACCCAGATGTCACTGGATTTATAGCACAACAAACTATAGTACATCTCTTTTCTTGTTGTCATAGTAACTTGATTCACTTACAGCTGGACACGGCAGATAATTGCTTTGAACAATCCGACTGAAGAAGGCATTGATTTGTATCCCTCGGTTTCCAACACAAACAACTTCACCTTAGAGGTTGACACAGAGAAACCAATAACCTTGAAGCCAGGATGTGTTACAAAGGTGTCTCTCAAGTTCAAGCCCTCAAATCTCGGAGACGAGGGCCACAAGGCAAAGGTCACCTTCTTCAGCGACCAGGTAAGATTAGTATAGCTGAAAGTGTGTGCTGAATATGTTTCAAGCAGTTTTACATATTTTGTGTGACATCACAGTTCTGTTTAGCTTTTTCTTGAATTTGTTACAAAAATATTTTCTATTTCAAACCTAGTTTTCAGTCAGTTGATGTCTGCTTAGTGACCTGGTAAACTAAACATAACTGGCTCAAACAACTCTCATAATTGTTGCGGACCTGTTATAGTTATCATTATTTTGCTTCATACTTCCAGAAATCATCATCATCATCCAGTAACTTGTCATGTGCAGAATGTTGTCCTGCAACCTCGTTTCCACCTAGCAGGCCAAATAGGCTGCCACCCTAAGACAGTTTCAAAACTAGAAAAGCTAGGCACAAAAGAAGAGAAAATTCCTAGAATCTGTGATCTGTATATACACAATTGAGATCCTTTGATGCTATAGAATTGGTGTGCCATGGTTAAATTCTCTTCATATGATGATATCTTCAGGAGGAGACTAGAGTTATATGGACATAGTATGCCATGAAATTGATAATCATCATCAGTTCTCGTTATGCCTAGTGGCACATGAGGCTTCAGAGAGGACTTTCCATGCTTTCCTGTCCTGTGCAATCTTCAGTGCAGTTTTTCATGTCAAAGATGCCGCACTCATGTCACTTTCCATCGTTCGTCTCCATGTTGTTTTTGGGCGCCCCTGTTTTCTCTTTCCCTCTGGTGTCCATGTGAGAGCTGTTTTGGCAGGTATATCAGAAGTCATTCTCATAACGTGGCCAAGCCATTTCCATCTTCTCTTGGTAATCATACTGTCTAAAGTTTCTTGGTTTGTGGCTTGAAGTAGTTTAGTGTTTGAGATTGTATCTGGCCAGAAAATTTTTATAATTCTACGTAGACATGTGTTGTGGAAGTTGGACAGCTTGTGTGCATCCTTTTTGGTAATTCTCCAGCATTCCGCTCCATAAAGAAGAACTGGCAAAATGATGCTCTTGTAGAGTCGGAGTTTCATTCCTCTGCAGTAACTGTTGGATTTCCAGATTTGCCTCATCCTTCTAAAAGTAGCTCTAGCTTTGTTCAGGAGTGACTGTATGTCTTCCTCTGTCCCTCCCAGTAGGGACACCACACGGCCAAGATATGTGAAATGTTCTACATTTTCAAGTGATTGGTTACTTATGGTCACTGATTGTTGGTTTGGACTGTTTGTCATGATCTTAGTTTTCTTTGTATTTATTCTCAGTCCCACCATTTCTGCTGTGCAGTGTAGTCTGTTGCTTTTCTCTTGTATATGTTCATGTTTATGTGATAGGAGTGCTATATCATCTGCAAAATCAAGGTCCTCAAGCATGGTGAATGGAGTCCATCGTATGCCTCTTAATGTCCTGTCTACTGTGTTCTTTAGTATCCAATCAATCACAAGGTTGAAGAGGAGAGATGACATAACACATCCCTGTCTTACACCTGTCTTTACTGGGAAAGATGTATTGTAATTTTTTTTATACTGCAGGAAAAGTCTTTATAGAAGAGAGCAATTATGGTGACTATTTTTTTCTGGAATTCCATAATGTTTGAAAAATTTTCCACAGATTGTCTCTATGGACGCTGTCAAAAGCTTTCTCAAAGTCCACAAAATTAATATATATACTTCTCTGCCATTTATTGTAGTGTTCTAAAATGTTACATATGGCGAAGATGTGCTCAGTTGTTCCTCTGCCTCTTCTGAATCCTGCTTGTTCCACTCGTAGGTATTTATCTACTCCTGTTTCAAGCCGCATTAGGATGATTTTACAAAATATTTTGCTTGGTACTGAGAGTAGAGAATTCCCCTCCAATTATTGCAGTCTGTTAAGTCTCCTTTTTTGGGGATTTTGACTATTGTTCCTTCAGTCCAGTCATCAGGCAACACTTCTTTTTCCCAAATATCCTTGAACAATGGTTCTAGAATGCTAGCAGTTGTGTTGGGATCTACTTTGAGAAGTTCTGCTGGCAGTTCGTCTTTGCCTGGTGCTTTGTTGTTCTTTAAAGTGTGGATAGCTTTAAGGATTTCTTGTTTGCTTGGTGGTTCAGTAATAATGTCAATGTCCTGAGAAGCTGGTTGAATATCTGGGGGATTTTCAGGATCAGGTCTGTTCAAGAGGTCGGAGAAGTGTTTAGTCCACTGCATGTCTTGTTTTTGTTCTGTGGTGAGCAGTCTGCCTTCGTTATCTCTGATGGGTCTGCTGTGATAATTGTTTTTGTTTCTGCAAATTTGCTGGGTAATTTTGTGTAGGGTTTGTAGATCATGTGCTTTAGCAGCATTTTCTGCTGTTTCTGCAAGATTTTCCATAAATCTTCTCTTGTCAGCTCTGGCACTTTTCTTTGTCATTTTAGTTAGTTCGCTATATTTTAACATTAGTTTGTCTTTCTGACGTTCTGATTTAGTGTGATTTATGAGGCTCTTTTACTTTTTCGCTTGGCAATATAGTCCATGGTTTGACTACTTATCCATTCTTTGTGGTGTTGTTTCCTGGTTCCTAATATGTTATTGCTAGTTGATTTATATGTTTCTTTGATATGGTTCCATCTGTCTTGAATGCTGATTGTAGTTGGAGTTTCTGGGTCACTTGATAGGGTTTGACATCTGTTCTTGAGTTCTACTATGAATTTAGTGGCGTCTTTTTCTCTTAAAAGGTTAACATTGTAACGTGCTGTCTGTGTCTTAACTTGCGTGTAAACTTTTTTTGAGTTTAAGTCGTAGTAGATAATAATTTATAAATAATAAGATTATTTATTCCATTTATGTTTCAGCTTGGAGAGTGGGTTTTCTATGCATCAGGGACTGGACTTTTGCCCAAACCTCACTTGCCTGTGGTGACGAATGCAGCGCCAGGTTCTAGTAGCACCTTGTTTATTGTGTTCAGAAATCCCACAGACCTTGCAGTCCTGGCAGACGTAACTATTGTTGGTAAGATGTTGCCTGTTCCATTGTTGGGTCCTTTGGTCTGGTCAAAAGTCAAGGTCACTTCTCATGTCATTAGCACATCGGACATATGGTGCTAGATGTAGGTTTTATTTCATTGATTGGTCAAACCGCTGCTATTGTTATAGTGAGTATAATACTACAAATACAAAATTCTCAGTTCCGAAAAAACATGCAGTGTGTTATTACTTCCACTGTATGCGAGCTTCTTTCAGCCTAAATCATTTGTTTTTCCACAAATTATTTTTTCATCTGATCTTTCCAGTTGTCACGATGTTCTCCAATGTCTCTCTTCTCATTATGTGGCCAAAGAACAGTGTTTGTCTCTTTTTTAAAGAAGCTTGTTGGAAAGTATAGAAATCTACTTCATTAGCTTCTTTTCAAGCAATTGTTGTTAGTTACTCTGGATCATCCAAGGTATTCATAACAACTTAGTGGGAGAGCGTCCCGGAGAAGATGGATCACACATCTCTGTTGCTTCCAAATTCTCCTTTATTGTCAATAAAATCATTTGCTCAGAAAAAAGTTTTCAAATTTGTCTCCCCTACAAATATCTACACTGCATACATCTAATTTCTGTAATCAGTTACTGTTGTCGCCTGCTTCTGGAAAATGTGCTTATTTTATTTCTGCTCTCGTCATTGCTCATCAAGCATTAGTAACAGAATATCCCAGCAACCTTTCACAGAATATCACACTTCAGCACAGAAAAGAAGTATCACTCTTCTCACAGAACTTCTCACTCTTTCAGCCTGCTCACAGAACATCACATCTTCTCACAGAACATCACTCTTTTCACAAGAACATCACTCTTCTACAGCTCACAGAATCATTTTCTGAACTCTTCTCACAGAACATCACTCTTCTCACAGAATTTCACTCTTTTCTCACAGAACATCACTCTTCTCACAGAACATCACTCTTCTCACAGAATGTCAGTCTTCTCACAGAATATCACTCTTCTCACAGAACATCACTCTTCTCACAGAACATCACTCTTCTCACAGAATATCACTCTTTCTCACAGAACATCACTCTTCTCACAGAATATCACTCTTTTCTCAGAACATCACTCTTCTCACAGAACATCACTCTTCTCACAGAACATTACTCTTCTCACAGAACATCCCTCTTCTCACAGCCTGAGAAAAACACTCGATAATTTGTCAGTTTTCCTGCCTCATATATTTAGATACACTCAGGGTGTCTTTAATGTCCAGTCTCAACCATGATGTTAGTCAACTTCTGCAGTGTCTCCTATTTAGTAAGCCATCTAATCATCATCATCATCATCATCATCATCATCATCATCATCCTATAACACTACATGTCATTGGGTCAACCGTTTCTGTTGACTGTCTGATCAGCTTTCTCCAACTTTGGTGCTCAGTTGCGATCGACTTCATGGTTGCATGCCTGAGGCTTGTCCAGTCAGATTCTGTAACTAGGTCTTTCTTGGTCTGCTTCTTCTCCTCTTATCCTTTACTGAGCCTTAGTATTGTTTTTCAGAGGCCGTTAGATCTTATTTCATGTTCATACCATTGCATTTTTTTGACTTTCCACTGTAGTTAAAAGAGATTCATAGTTGCCAATGTGCTGTATAATTTTATGGCGAACTTTCTCATTTGTAATGTGGTCTCTGTAGGATATGCCAAGAATTTTTCTGAAACAGCACATTTCTAATGCTTATATCTTTCTTTCAAGTTCAGCTGTTAAGGTCCACGTTTCACATCTAGTACTGTTTTTGTTTTAGTCACTATAAAATATATTGTCGCCAAAGAGTTCTGGTTTAAAAAAACTTGATACTGTTTATGAAGCAATGTTTCTCTTAGTTTAAAATATTCTTTGCCTTCTCTGCACTACTGACACATCTGCTTGACACCAGAAATTTACTGCCTTGTATGTTAAACTGTTAAAGATCATTCTTAACAACTCAGGCTTCCATTCATTCTTAACAATTCAGGCTTCCATTCATTCTTAACAACTCAGTCTTCCATTCATTCTTAACAACTCAGGCTTCCATGGTAAACACATGGTTGAGCTTGAACTTCTAATGGTGGATGTACAGACAGTTGATTTGTATGTTTTCATTGACAAGATTTGTTTTTGTTGTTTCATTACATGTTGATGTAACTGTAGTTATGCACCTCATGAGATACAGTTAATTATGCCAGTCAAAAATAATTTATAAATATTGTTTGTGTGTCCCCAATATTTACATTTTGTTGTATAAGGTACAGGGTCTCATATTTGTTAATTTAATTGAAAACTCACAGATAATGGTCAAGATGGTGACAGTCTTAAAGAGAAGAGACTAAGCTCAGAGTCAGCTTTTAAACTACTTTTGAAACACAGCAGTGGTGTTCGTGTTGGTCCGAAGTCATCTTTGGAAATTCCTATCAGCTTTGCTCCCAATGACAGTGCCAGCTACCAGGCATATTGCAGGGTTATCATGCGACGAGAGGATGGACAACCATGGTCATATACACCCACAGATTCACTAGGGTGAGAAGATATGGCTAACATTGTTTCTTGTCTGATCCCAAGTGGATGATGTCCCTTCCGTTAATCTTTTAATTTAGAGATCAGTGTTTTCTCCAGCATGTTTCACAAACAGGAAGTGGGACTTGTGGTTATCACTGGCTCCACAAAGTTTGTAATGAAAGGGGCAAATTGTGAGCCAGATTTTCCTTTCTCTGACTGGAAAATTGTGGCTTCCTCTGGAGTTTAATTTGGTCTTGCACATTTACAAGTGGCAAAGTCAGAGAGGGCAATGCTCTGGGTTTATGGTGTCCTGAAAAACTTCTAGTCTACAAATTCTTGTCTGTGAGTTTCTGTCAAGCTTTATTTAAGCTGGCATGCTCTGGTCTACCCTGATCAACATTTTCTGTTGCATACAGGGGTGGGGAGGTCTGGTGGGTGGAAGCTTAGTCTTGCATTATAAGGCTGGATGTTTTGCCTTTGTTTTGTTGAATCTGTTCTTGTTTAGAATATATTTAATGTTGTTCTCCATATTTTTGTTGGTCCGCTTCTTTTTCTTTGTTTGGTTTATTGTATTGTCTGTCAGCAGTTGGCCAGATTTTATTAGCCTCTGATGTCCAAACGTTGTTTTCGGTCTCTCCGTGAATTCAGTGCGTCAGGTGATTGCTATCATATTTCTGATCTAACTTCACATTTTGTTTCTCTTTAAGACTCCCACACCTGCCACACCTGTCTCTCCTACCCCCAGCTCCTGTCTCTCCTACCCCCAGCACCTGTCTCACCTGGAGACCCCGGCAGTTAGTCTCACATGGAGACCACAGCACCTGTTACCTAGAGACCCCAGCACCTGTCTCACCCAGAGACCCCAGCACCTGTCTCACCCAGAGACCCCAGCACCCATCTCACCTAGAGACCACAGCTCTTGTCTCTCCTGGCCCCAGCACCTGTCTCACCCAGAGACCCCAGCACCCATCTCACCTAGAGACCCCAGCTCTTGTCTCTCCTGGCCCCAGCACCTGTCTCACCCAGAGACCCCAGCACCTGTCTCACCCAGAGACCCCAGCACCCATCTCACCTAGAGACCACAGCTCTTGTCTCTCCTGGCCCCAGCACCTGTCTCACCCAGAGACCCTAGCACCTGTCTCACCCAGAGACCCCAGCACCTGTCTCACCCAGAGACCCCAGCACCTGTCTCACCTAGAGACCACAGCACCCATCTCACCTAGAGACCCCAGCTCTTGTCTCTCCTGGCCCCAGCACCTGTCTCACCCAGAGACCCCAGCACCTGTCTCACCCAGAGACCCCAGCACCCATCTCACCTAGAGACCACAGCTCTTGTCTCTCCTGGCCCCAGCACCTGTCTCACCCAGAGACCCTAGCACCCATCTCACCTAGAGACCCCAGCTCTTGTCTCTCCTGGCCCCAGCACCTGTTTCACATGGAGATCCCATCACTTGTCTCACATCGAGACCCTGACAACTAGTCTCACCTGGAGACCACAGTACCTGTCTTAAGCATCTCATCTCACCTGTGCTGGGTTTTCTCTGGTGGGAAGTTGATAGGGACCAAGTGTGCTGACCTACATTGTTTAGCAACATTTGTATTCGACTTCCTTTACTATCTTTTGCATGATCTTTATCATAAGTTGTGCAGTCACTTCCTGTAGTTCACACAAAGAAAAATGTGTGTACTGTGCATGGACCCTATAGCACCAGCAACAATCCAGATATGGACACACAATAATTCAAACATATGCTTTAAACTGTTTTAAATCTGTTTGTTTAAACTTGTGGTGTTTAAACTTGTGGTGTTTAAACTTGTGGTGTTTAAACTTGTGGTGTTTAAACTTGTGGTGTTTAAACTTGTGGTGTTTAAACTTGTGGTGTTTAAACTTGTAGTGTTTAAACTTGTGGCAAACCTTGACCTCTCATTTTCAAATGTCAAGGTATTTCTTTTAGACAACTGTATAAAATCCTTCATTTTGTTCACACTTATCCAGCAGGGCTAAGTCAAGTATTATGTGACTCCAGGAGCAGGAGAGCTATAACATCCACTCCTGGTGTTCCTAGCTGCAAGAATTACAAGCCGTTTAGCCTCTTGTTGGTTTAACACTTGTTTGAGAACATTCAATTATCACTGCACCTGACTATACATATATACTGTTTCTTTTACAGTAGAAAATTGCCATCACACACAGCAAGTGTCAGTGAGATTCGATGGCTCTACCCACTTCATGGAACTACGGATTCTATGCCAGGAAAAGATATCTTTCAGATTTCTAGTTCAGTTCACAGTCAGCTGGCCAAAACTCTGGATGTTTCTCTCACAGACGAGTTTTCCAAGGCAGCCCATGTCCGGCTGAAAACGCCTAAACAAAAGAAATCTTCTATTCCAGAGAGCTCAATTGTTGGACATAGTAAGTCCAGAAAAAAATAGATGGAGGCTGTGTGGTTATGTAAAACATAACCGTATATGTTTAAAATGTAAAATGAAAAAATTTAAATATGTCTTGTCCCAGTTGTTACATTACCACATCACCATCATCATGTGCCATGCTATTTAGCATTGATGGTTCTGGTGGAGCATCTGATAAAATTACTAGAGTCTAAGAACAGATCTGTGTTCTTGTCTATGAATGTGATGTGTCCATGTATGCCATGTAGCCATGCCATCTGGTAGTTCTCTCTTTACATTCCTCTTGCTAATTTCCCATTAAGTCTGCCAATTGTCCTTAGTTTTAAAGCTGATTTTTATCTCATGACATGGCCAGAATATTTTGTAACTGTCTACAGCTAATTTATCTAGTCTGTTGATAGTTTCCATTTATCTCATCAGTTTTTTTGGAATTTGTGAAATTTTTCCTCATAAACAAAATTTGTACTGTCAATATTTGTTTCTCGGGTGCTCATTGTTTATGTGTAACATGCGTACAACAGTACGTACAACAATGTATACAAAAGGACATGTTCTGGGAAGCACCTTAACACTTTGATCTCACTGTTTTTAATATTATTATAATAATAGTAACTGATGCACATAGCACATTTCCAGTCATACATGAGACATTTATGAATGAATATAAATATCAGCCAATCACACATGGCACATTTCCAGTCATACATGAGACATTTATGAATGAATATAAATATCAGCCAATCACACATGGCACAGTTCCAGTCATACATGAGACATTTATGAATGAATATAAATATCAGCCAATCACACATGGCACATTTCCAGTCATACATGAGACATTTATGAATGAATATAAATATCAGCCAATCACACATGGCACATTTCCAGTCATACATGAGACATTTATGAATGAATATAAATATCAGCCAATCACACATGGCACATTTATAAATGTACCTATACATAAATATCAGCCAATCACATATAGCACATTTATAAATGTACCTATACATAAATATCAGCCAATCACATATAGCACATTTATAAATGTACCTATACATAAATATCAGCCAATCACACATGGCACATTTATAAATGTACCTATACATAAATATCAGCCAATCACATATAGCACATTTATAAATGTACCTATACATAAATAGCAGCCAATCACATATAGCACATTTATAAATGTACCTATACATAAATAGCAGCCAATCACATATAGCACATTTATAAATGTACCTATACATAAATAGCAGCCAATCACATATAGCACATTTATAAATGTACCTATACATAAATAGCAGCCAATCACATATAGCACATTTATAAATGTACCTATACATAAATAGCAGCCAATCACATATAGCACATTTATAAATGTACCTATACATAAATAGCAGCCAATCACATATAGCACATTTATAAATGTACCTATACATAAATAGCAGCCAATCACATATAGCACATTTATAAATGTACCTATACATAAATAGCAGCCAATCACATATAGCACATTTATAAATGTACCTATACATAAATATCAGCCAATCACATATAGCACATTTATAAATGTACCTATACATAAATAGCAGCCAATCACATATAGCACACATGCATGAAGGAACCTAACAATCAGCCAATTGCACATAGTACGTTCTTTGATAAAAACATTAAAATGGCAGCTGTATTTGTGAATTATTAAGGAGTTTTAGTATTCAGAACAAGAAACACAAATTATAACTACAAAGCCTAAGGACAAAAATACAGACACAAATGCAAGACAATGTTTCTACTGACAATAGCCATCTCTGTTTAAGTCAGGTTTGTATTTAATTTTTAAAAATACTTACTGAAGATGGCTTTAGGTATTATTGGTTTTCATTTTTTAATAAAGCATTTATACAAAAGAACAAGACTGTGGATATTTCTGTTAACATTATTTGTTTCGCAATTACAGTTTTCTAAAAACTTGGTATTTTTCTTTTAAACATTTGAGAGTTATAGAATGTTTGACATAATTTTTTATTTATTGGCCTGTTAACTTTGGGGGTGGGGGGAGGGGGGAGGGGTTAAATTGATGTTTACTGTGTTATTGTTGCTGATCATAATTCCGCTGAGTTTGGACAACCACTGCCATGTTCCAAAGAAGCAAATGCTGTGCAGCTGTTAAATGGAGCTCTCTTGTTTGAGCTACCTGTGACCCTTTGAAAATTAAGTTTGTTCGTTCGTTCGTTCATACCTGTTTGTTTTGGTAAAATTGTCTTACTTTTGACTGTTGAAATTGCTAAGTTTGTGTTTCTAGTTCTGTTAACAGTTCCAGTGCCATACTGGTCACTGCTGCTGCCGGCCAAGACACAGGTCCCAATCATAAAGTATTCATTCATTCATTCATTCAGTAGCATGTCCCTCGCGGAACCTCGCTGCCATAACAACCCTCCGGAAAACCTTCCTATCATGAGCAAGATGTCCTGCGTCTGATACACCCATCTGGAGATCATCTGCCACATCCTGCACCCATCTTCTCCTTGGCCTTCCTCTTCCTCTCTTCCCAGGCATATACCCCTCCATTATTGTTCTCTCTAGACCTCCATGACGTTTCAAGTGACCAAAATATTTCAATTTTCTTTGTTTTATTGTCTTTACTAGCCAACCCTCTTCAATATTCAGCTCTTGAAGTATGGATGCATTTGTTCTTTTAAGTATTAAAGTATTACCAGACAATTTTCTGAATGTCTGGGAAATGTTTTGTGAAAGAGAAGGCAAACTGCTCACTCCTACATCATTAAATGATGATCAAGTATTTCACACAAATAGCATGATCTGTCATCACACATTTGCCATTGGACACGTACCCATGTGAAATAAGATATCTGACATACTTCATGGGACATATGCCATGAAATATATGCAGTGCAATATATATGATTTAATATGTGCAATGTTTGACATATGCCATGTGACATGTGCCATGTTACATAGGACATGGGGAAATGCCAGGGGATGTATGTCATGTGATATATGTCATGTGACATGTGCAGTGCGAAATGCCATGTGACACGTGCCATATGACCGTGAAGGTCAGAAATTGCAGCTCATGTCTGCATTTTGGAAGTCTCTGTAGTGCAGTGGTCAGCCTGTTTGCATCGCAGCCCAGTGGTATGTGTTCAAATCTGCTTCAAGGTGAAGATATTTTTTATGACTCAGGCTCCAATGTCAGTTCAACTTAGATGGGTTCTGGGAAATGTTCTGGAAAGTAAAAGTAGTTGTCAAGATATTGATCACATCACTGTTCCAGTGTTTCATGTGGTCTTCAGAATTATAGGTCTTGTGCCATTTGCCATGTGCCAATAAGGAAGAAGAAGAAGAGGAAATTGACATTAGTTATAGTAAAAACGTCTATTTAGGCAGTTAAGGCCAATTTTTTTTGGTTTAAAAAGAAATTAAAATACATTTTTACTTTTCTAACAGAACAGAGCTTTATTGTAAAACTCAATTAAGTTTACACTAGAGGATTAGTCAGCACAGCAAGATCAGCTGTAAGCACATTTTCAAAATATGAATGAGATTAGAGATTACGGCCACTGAATTCTGTGAAACAAAGCCATGCCAATGGCCAATTAGGAAAAACAAATATTAACCTAGTCAGGCATGAGAATCCTTTATCTTGACACACTCTTGTGTTTTTGGTGTTGTGTTCAGTGTCTTAGCAATAGCTCCATTTGCAGAAACATCATTACCAACTGGCAATGCCTACATTTATGTAGTTAAAGAGTTATATGCTGAAAAATTATCAAAATTAGAACAAGAGTAAAAAACAATCACTTTATTAGGAAATTGAAACTCTGTGCTTGCTGCTGAAGATGGGGATGAAGCTGTTATTTGAATGTCGCAAGTGCTGTGATATCAGGTATTATTTCGATATTCTTTATAATTAAATTCATTGGATGTGGCAGCTGAAACTGGCGGGGAGGCTTCCATCGAAGTTATGAAAAGAATTGCTTTAGGTTTTTAAAGTCACACCCCGCCATTGACAGACATTTATTTTCTACTTGCTTTCTTGTTCTTACCAGTTCCTCCGTTATGATGTTCAAGATCATGCAGGTCACTATCTAGTTTACATGCTATTTTTACCTTGAACTATCAATGCCTGTAATTAATTTTTTTAAATTTCTGATCTCAGCTCCAGAGACTGCAGAAGAGTACAGTTTTGAACTGTTGTATGATAGTGATGACACCAAGAGCGTCATTGAGAACTGTGTGGAAGTTAAGATGATCAAACACATGAAAACAAACACAGGAACTGTCACTCTTGTCTTCGAAGTCAACTTTGCTCCAACTGTAAAAATGGAGTATGTTTCTGTTTTTAGTTTAACCATATTTGTATGATGCTGCTTGGGGGCATGAAAGAATACCAGCTTCTTCTTTTTCTTCTTTTTTGTGTTCACCGGCTGCAAACTCTAACGGAAAGTTCTGGTTGTTCATCGACTCCAGGATTGCAAAATTCAAATTGGGCTGTTCATTTTAGGCTTAAAGTGGATAAGCAAACCACAACTTTCTGCTGGAATTTCCAGCCAGTGAACACGAAGAAGAAGAAGAAGAAGAAGAAGAAATAATTAGGATATAAATATTGTGCTATATGCTGTATAGTTTTTTTAAAGTCAACTAAATTTTTATTTTTGTTTGCCTTGCTGTTTTTTTTAAATTCTATTGATAAATAGTTGTTAAAGATACAGAAATTCAAGTGCATTCTGTCATGGATATAGTGGCTGGGTCATGTTGGAATGCTAGACAACAAAAAAGAGATCCAGCAGTTGAAAACTCACAATGGACAAGGGAGTCATTGTAAAGCTTGATCAACTGCTGATTCAATATCCAACAAAAAGCAAAGCAGCAACAAGCAAAGCAGCATATTTAGAGCTGTTGATGTTCGGATTCAAGTGGGATTCCATGATTGGAGGTGCTAAGAGAACATATTGTTAGATAATACCTAGAATGATCAGCATCTAATCCTTACAATTTCTGAGGGAGACGGAACGTTTAGGGTCGTGCCCAGAGTGCTAGGATGTTGATTCTTACATATCTAAAAATGTAAACCAGAAGAAAAACGGTTATCAGTGTTTTACTGCAACCAATATTCATTGTCTGGTTTTCTTTCAGCCATTTCGTAAATCTCCTGATAAAGAAAGCACAAGGTGGTTTCTGGGTAGTTCCCCTCAGATTCACTGCTACTGGGCGGCCTGTAGACGACACAATCGTGATTGAGTCCAGCGGACTGGACAAACCATCAACTGTTGGGTTTAGGCTCAATTCTCAGCAACAGTAAGCTGTCTTAAGTACTTATAGTTGGTGGAATGAAATAAAACAATGATCAGTAGTGTTAAGTGTGAATTCTGCTCATTACATTTACTCACTTACAGTTTATATTCTGTCCGGGATTAACATTGTTTAGTTTTAATCATGATCAGCTAAATACTATCCAGGCTAAACATTTCATTTCATGATTGTTTAGTTCTAGTTTTCAGTTTTAAGAATGTTTAGTTTTATGAATGTTTCATTATAAGAATATTGACTTTCAATAAAAGAAGTGGCTGGCAGTAAAAAAAAAAGAGGGGGGTGGTGGGGTAAAGATCACTGAGCTCTCATGCAAGAGACCCACACTTAATCCTCAGAAAGGGATAAAGATTTGTTTCTGTCTGTCAGGGGCCAAATAAAAATTCTAACTGGCACAGTTCATGGCAACTACCCTAGCCATATAATGTTGACCGTCCTTGTTCAAAATTTTGTTTTAAAAAACACCTTTATAATTCTGTCAAATTTTACTTTAAGAAACTAGACGAGGAGGGAAAAAAAAAGTAGAAGAAATTTTGAGTCTTAGTTTTTATAAACATACAGGAAGTTGAACTCCTAGACTACTAAGTGAGCAGACAGGTATAAAATTCACAGCTAGTAATCACTGAACTAATTCTGAATTAAAAAAAAAATATACACTTTATTATGCAAAGTAACTTTTTCTTGGGTAAGGGAAATAATCTCTAAATACAAATGAAGCAAAGAATTAACTGCTTTCTTTCCCTTCGATAATAAAATGAAGGGTTTCACACATATTAAAAAAAATGATTGCTGTTTTGATTGAGAAGTTCTGATTTGCCAAATCTGTCAGCGTCGATAGTGTGTCACATAAATATTGTTTTGCATACGGCGCTGTATTCATTTCTAATGTTCAGAACTACTTTTGAAGTATTCAGGAAAGGTAACTCTAACGTCTTCCTTTGAATACAATTTCGAGTTCCCAAGATGTGTGGACATAGATTGTTCTGATTTATAGCTAGCGTTTTTTCAACAGTGCATTTTCTAACTTCGTGTCCAAGTGCCTTGGATACCATCGTTTTAACAACAAATACAGATCCCAAAATAGGTCTTTCTGTGGCCGAAGCTATACAATTTTTCAATCAGATGTTTTAAATTCTGATAAATGATCATGAAAATTTAGATTTTTTGGAAAGTAATTCGGACGATGAATTTACACCAGCAATCAGCTGTTGGGACTCTATCGATTCTAATGAGTTTACACAGACAGTGTCCCATTGCTGAAGCATTTAGGGTGTAAGAGAAAGAAAGTACTCCAAACATATAGACAGTATACCTAAGCTATATTTAGATCATTGCAGCTACAGTCTGTATATATCTGTTCAAAGTTAATCTTGTGTGTGTAATGGTCCATTTTTCTACCATTTGTTTTCTTTGAAATTGTGTTCAGCACTCTGTTGGAACTAGAGCTCCTGAATGCTTCAATAACCCAGAAACTTTCACAATGTTTTTTTTCTTTCTCTACCACAAATAATACCTCACAATTTTGTGGGGGTGTATATAGTCATTCCCACCATGTTTACACACTATACAGTTACAGCCAATGCTAAAATGTAATGTAGGCATAATAGCCATTGTTCAAAGATGTCATCAAAACTCTAAATTTAGGAAAACCGGCTTTCTCTGGGTGACTGGGTAAATCTGCTGAGGTTGATGATCCTCTGTCCCGCACCATCAAGTGATAAATACAGGCAGTCAGACAGTTTTGTTGAAAACTGTAAATAATACACACTTGTACATGATTGTTGTGTCATGTTCATTCACTCACTTGTACATGATTGTTGTGTCATGTTCATTCACTCACTTGTAAATGATTGTTGTGTAATGTTCATTTACTCACTTGTAAATGATTGTTCTGTAAAGTTCATTCACTCACTTGTAAATGATTGTTGTGTTATGTTCATTCACTCACTTGTAAATTATTGTTGTTTAATGTCTATTCACTCTATTGAAAATTATTGTTGTATAATGTTCATTTACTCACTTGTAAATGATTGTTGTGTAATGTTCATTCATTCACTTGTAAATGATTGTTGTGTAATGTTCATTCACACACTTGTAAATGATTGTTGTGTAATGTTCATTCACACACTTGTAAATGATTGTTGTGTAGTGTTCATTCACACATTTGTAAATGCTTGTTGTGTAATGTTCATTCACTCACTTGTAAATGATTGTTGTGTAATGTCTGTTCACTCACTTGTAAATAATTGTTGTGTAATGTTCATTCATTCACTTGTAAATGATTGTTGTGTAATGTTCTTTCACACACTTGTAAATGATTGTTGTGTAATGTTCATTCACACACTTGTACATGATTGTTGTGTAATGTTCATTCACTCACTTGTAAATGATTGTTGTGTAATGTTCATTCACTCACTTGTAAATGATTGTTGTGTAATGTTCATTCACACACTTGTAAATGATTGTTGTGTAATGTTCATTCATTCATTTGTAAATGATTGTTGTGTAATGTTCATTCACACACTTGTAAATGATTGTTGTGTAATGTTCATTCACACACTTGTAATGATTGTTGTGTTATGTTCATTCACACACTTGTAAATGATTGTTGTGTAATGTTCATTCACACACTTGTAAATGATTGTTGTGTAATGTTCATTCACACATTAGTAAATGATTGTTGTGTAATGTTCATTCACACACTTGTAAATGATTGTTGTGTAACGTTCATTCACACACTTGTAAATGATTGTTGTGTACTGTTCATTCACTCACTGGCTTGTAAATTATTGTTGTATAGAGTTTATTTGTATGTTCAGTTATATATGTTTTTTTGGAATGCAGTCTAAAAAAGTAGACCAAATCATAAGTAACTACTGAAATGCTCTGAATTAGGAACTGACAAATTTATGTCTCAGTCCAATGTGATAACAGCTTTGCCATATGCTTAACATTAGTTTATTTATATTTTTTTAAAGAAATTGGAATTGGATCTCTGTGCTGGCTACTGAAGATGAGGAGGGAAAGCTTTTTGGAAATATCCCGAGTGCTGTGGTGTTCTGTTCTTAACTCAGCTAAACTCATCATTTCTTTCTTGACTTATTTTTTTTTAAAAATAATTAGTCAGCGTATTTTAATGTTTCACTGAAAAAAAAAAAGATACCAGTAAAATACCAGTAAAAAACATTTGAATACATATATTTTTCAGGCAGCCTGAAGATTTTGTTGCTTTCTTTGAAAATGGAAGTGACACAGCATTTTCTGTAACTCCTGAGAGAGGAGAGTTAGCACCAAAAAATACAACTGGTACACTGATATCTGTCACTTTCTTGCCAAAGATTTATGGCAAAGTGTACACCTCGACGCTGATAGTCAAGGTAAGGCAATGTTCTGTCTTGACTTTTTATCTGCATGCCAGTCAGTCTGTCTATCTAAGCCAAATGTCTGTCTGTGAGTATATTTGTCTGTATGTCTGTCCCCTGTATATATGTCTGCTAGTCTGTCTATTTGTCTGCTCATCTATATCTAGCGAGGTAGATGGGTAGTAATTTACCTACCTACAAATATAACCAGACATTTATATTTTCAGACAGAAAAGCAGACACACAGACATATAAATCTGTGAAGTCCCATGTGTCACTCAAGTGTTTCTGAAGAGCATCCACAATAAAATCTCTGGATCTGTTTATGGACTTCACTTAGTTGAAAGCTTAGAGCTTTTTTGACACAAAACTGTAGCTGATTGAACTTCAGTCTGCCAAGATGTCTGAACCCACTCCATTTGTTGTCTCTCAGAGATTAAGTGCAGTTTGTTCTGTTTTCCTATATTATAACGCTGCTCCAGCTGTTACACTCACCCACACTGCTCCAGCTCTTACACTCACCCACACTGCTCCAGCTGTTACACTCACCCACACTGCTCCAGCTGTTACACTCATTCACACTGCTCCAGCTGTAACACTCACCCACACTGCTCCAGCTGTTACACTCACCCACACTGCTCCAGCTGTTACACTCACCCACACTGCTCCAGCTGTAACACTCATCCACACTGCTCCAGCTGTTACACACACCCACACTGCTCCAGCTGTTACACACATCCACACTGCTCCAGTTGTTACACTCACCCACACTGCTCCAGCTGTTACATTCAGTCACACTGCTCCAGCTGTTACACACACCCACACTGCTCCAGCTGTTACACACACCCACACTGCTCCAGCTGTTACACACACCTACATTGCTCCAGCTGTTACATTCAGTCACACTGCTCCAGCTGTTACACACACCCACACTGCTCAAGCTGTTACACACACCTACATTGCTCCAGCTGTTACACACACCCACACTGCTCAAGCTGTTACACACACCTACATTGCTCCAGCTGTTACATTCAGCCACACTGCTCCAGCTGTTACACACACCCACACTGCTCCAGCTGTTACACACACCCACACTGCTCCAGCTGTTACATTCAGCCACACTGCCCCAGCTGTTACATTCAGCCACACTGCTTCAGCTGTTACATTCAGCCTCACTGCTCCAGCTGTTACACTCAGCCACACTAATCCAGCTGTCGAGAATGATCTCAGTGATATGTGCCAGGTACTAAAACAGTTCACTGCTTCTCTATGAGGGCGCTGTGGTGGTGCAGGGGCCGGCCTGCTCGCCAGGAGGTCTGTAGTCATTTGTTTTAATCTCTCAGCACGATTGTGATCACTTGACCGTCAAGTGCAGATTGGTTTCTAGAAATATGATCTAGCATCATATGCTTGATACACGTGAAGGCAAGGGGTTTGTGTGTGTTTGTTTGTTTTTTCCTCTAATTTCCTCTTTTCCTTTTTAATTTAATTTGTGTTTTTTTTTTCTTGTTTTATTTTCTTCTTCTAATTTGTTTTGTTTTTAATTTAGTCTTTTCTCTAATTTAGTTTTTTACTAATTTGATCTTTTCCTTAAATTTCTACTTTTCTAGTGAAACCAGTTTATGTTTTTAAAAATCCCAAAGGTAGTTGATTGTTTCTTTGTTATTTTATAATAAATAGTTCATAAAATGAAGCAAATTCCAAACTAATAAATAAAATTTATTTGTAATGTTTAAATTGATGATTTCAACAGACAGCATCCAACGTGCAGTGGACATACGAGGTTAAAGGAGTATTACCGGACTATCAGCCTCCTCGGGGAGTCTCTGCTCATCCCATTGCTGGACCACACCCTCAGCTGAGATTACATTCAACCAAGAAGAATTATGTTCGCAGAAATTTGAAGCTCCTGGCCACAGCAGTGTCCTCGCCAATCAAAGGAGCACCCCTCGTACCAATAGGCAACGTTTATAATAAAGTTGTTATGTAGACTGAGAGATAGGGATGGGTGGCACTGTGGTGTTGAGATGGGTGATCTAAAAAAGATTGGGATGGGTGTCACTTGGGTGTTGAGATGGGAGATGTTGTAATGTTAACATAGGTGGCACTGTGGTGTTGAGATAGGAGATGTTGTAATGTTAAGATAGGTGGCACTGTGGTGTTGAGATGGGAGATGTTCTAGTGTTGAGATAGGTGTCAATATTGTGTTGAAATGGGTGGTACTGTGGTGTTGAGACTGGAAATGTTATAGTTTAAGGATAGAGGTGTTCTGGTGTTGAGATAGGAGGCACTGTGGTGTTGAGATAGGAGATGTTCTAGTGTTGAGATAGGAGGCACTGTGGTGTTGAGATGGGAGATGTTCTAGTGTTGAGATAGGAGGCACTGTGGTGTTGAGATGGGAGATGTTCTAGTGTTGAGATAGGAGGCACTGTGGTGTTGAGATGGGAGATGTTCTAGTGTTGAGATAGGTGGCAAACCAAGATGGGAGATGTTTTCTAGTGTTGAGATAGGAGGCACTGTGCAGAGGGAATGTTCTAGTGATCACAGATAGGAGTAAATGGTGTTGAGATGGGATTAGTCTTTTTTATTGAGATAGGAGGCACTGTGGTGTTGAGATAGGAGATGTTCTAGTGTTGAGATAGGTGGCACTGTGGTGTTGAGATGGGAGATGTTCTAGTGTTGAGATAGGAGGCACTGTGGTGTTGAGATAGGAGATGTTCTAGTGTTGCCAAACTTTTTGTTGAATGGGAGATTTCCTAGTGCTTGAGATGTGCACACACTTGAGATGGGAGATTTTCTAGTGTTTTGATCTACACACTGCCATAAATGAGATGTGAGATGTTCTAGTGTTGAAGTGAGTATTTTGTTGTGTAAACATTACATGCTTTGTTGACAAATAAATATTGGCAGTGCGAAAGATGAATATTTAATATAAATAAAACCTGCTCCCCCAGATATGTGGTCATTTGAAAATAATGTTTATTTGTGTAGTGGTTTTGAGATAGTAGTGCTATCTTTATACCTATGTCACATATTTTCAGGTTGATTTCATATAAACTTGTCTCTTCTGTCTCTCTAATGAGCTTTCTGTTTATGTTCATCATCTCCAGGCCACATTCCATGAAATATTGTTTGGTATATCCACATCTCCAATGACTTGATACAACTTTTTAATTTGCACAGGTTTCTGAATTATATGATAGTGTTGATAAATTATAGGTTCATTATTATTATCTGTTTAAACATATTGTTTATCTTTCTAGGTGTCATGTATTTTTGTTAATGTTATTTACAATATTTTGTAACCATACCTGTTCTTTTGGCTTTCTATTCTCACTTCTGCCATCAGCTTTCTATTATTACATGTCCGCAATAGGGGAAACTTGCTTGTGACTTCTACGTACATATGAAAAATCAGAGAACATTGCTCTTGATTTGTAAGTTCCTGGTCATAATTTAAATCTATCTATCTTCTTTTACCTCACCAGGACATCACACAAGCGATAAACACCTGATCCACACAAAGTGCCACCATGTGGATGAGGATCACCCATGGAGAGGTCCCAGAAACCGTGTTTAACCATTGAACCATATTTATGGCCGGACTATATTGCGGTCCCTGGCAAGAGCCAGAGTAGGGCTTCAAATAACGAAAAATTGCATCACACAAAGGGATGACAAGATATTGATTAGATCTTCTATAGTTAAAAATGGCAATGTTTGTGTGTTTGTTTCACCCCTTGATAGACTCTGAAATACTGAACCGATTTAGCTGAAATTTTCAGTGTTGATATGTTTGTGTTCATGATACCGGATTTTGAATAGGTGTCGTGGTTTGAAAATAAACCTGTCACTGTTAGAGATAGGTGACCACAATTTATGCAATAATATTCTAGGCTAATATTTATAACTTTAGTGATTTCTAATTTCTAGCCACGTTAGTAATTGCGCATTGCGCCGGAGATGTAGTCAGAACGCAAGGCTTCCGCCATTCGCCGGCGAGTTACGTGCAGCCAACGCCTTCTCTAATACATAGAGTAGGTCTAGGTACAGCAAACAAGACTATCTCTATATTTGCCACAATAACCATTTTAAACACGGTTTCTATTTTCTGTTTTTTTTTTGAAAGGTATCAACCTTCGATGGGAGGGGGGGGGGGGGGGGGGGGGGGGGCAATGTAAGGACTATCCGGTGTCGGAGAGGGAAAGTGACTGTGTGATTAACTTCATTAACTGTGTTAGAGACGGGAGATATTCTATTGTGCAGTGGAGGACTTTCTCATTAAGATATCTGGTGTATCTGTCTATTGAGAAAAACATTGCACTGCGTAGCTGTCAAGATATTATAAGTTTTAATATAAAGGACATCATTAGTATGTGCAGGGACTGTACATCTCAGTGGATAGTTCCTAGTTGTCATTTTTTGTCTATTAAATTATGTGGCTGCTTGTTTGTCGATCTATTAGGACACTGGGTTCCTGAGCATGTGACTTGGTTTTTCCCCCAGTAGTAAATTTTTTTTTTGTGCCCCGGACTTGCCTAATTCCTCATCTGCTCTGCGTGGTGATTCTTGCTCTAGCCATGTTTGGCCTTAATATTTAATTTTTGAAAAAAAAAGACAAGTAAATGGGTAAATATTTTGATAATTAAATTTGACCATTTCGCATACTTATGATTGTTCATTTTTAAACCTTCAATTGCATGGTTACGCTAAAATATTTTTTCATAGATTTTCATTTCTTTTCATTATAGAATTTAGTTATTTCATCATCTGCGTGGAATTTTAAGCTCTTCTGTTTACCACAGCGTTCATTTCCTAATTATGGTTTTTTTTTTTTGTCCTGTTTCTCATTTGCTTTGATAGTGTGTTTTTTTTATTTCATTATTACTATCTGTTTAAAATGAGGTCAAGAGTTGTCGGTGAATTTTTTTTTTAATGGGGGGGACAAACTTTTGTTAACTGAGAGAGCTTTAAGTCACCAGTAACTGCTTGTACCCACTAATTAATGTTTTCAGCAGCAGTAATAGTTTGTGGTTGGGCTATTACACCGTAGTGCTCTCATGTGAAGACCGCCGGTCAAGTTTATGGCTGAGTTTCTTCTGTCAGGAAGCGAAATTATACATCCTAACCTGACCAGTCTGTGGCGACAGCACTAGCCATGCGGAACCTAATCTTCTGGCTCACGACTCTCTGTATACTATGCCACAGCAACACGTGGCCGGGTACAGCTAGTTTAAATATAAATATCTTCCTCATCTTCTTTGTTCACTGGCTGTAAGCTCCAGTGGAAAGTCCTGGTTGTTCATCCATTTGGCTTTGGCTTTGTTTGAGGGCCAGAACTTTGGCATGTATATCTATTTTGCTGGCTTATTTATGTGCAGTTGGTTTTTCCTTTTTCGTTCGGACAGATACATTCCGACTTGCCTTTTTTGAGTAGATAGCTGGTCTATTCTTGCTTTCCCCACAGTGGGGACCCAGAATCTACACGGAGAACAAATATTATATAAAAGATAGAAATCTTACTCTTGGCTTCTACATTCACATAAAAGATTTACTTCTTTCTGACAGATTAGTTTTGGTCATTTATAGGGCTTTCAGGCAAGATAATGTTGATGCTTCTGGTATTCCCTTATTCCATCAATTGTAAATACACAACTTGCACTGTTTCAGCTACGTCTAAATATCAATGCTGCTTAATGGAAGTCTTGTTGAATTTTACCTATCTGTCTTTTTATAGATTCGCATGCAATAACTATTCTTTGATGTTGAATGCTTTTGTAATAGGTTTAAGTGACACTATGGCAGCAGTCAGTTGATGTCACTTCACTGATTACTGTAGTGTATTTTTTTAAAATTATTTTATCCTGTTGATGTAACTATGGTTGATAAAATAGAATATTCCACTCTAATACAAATCACTACTTCTGTGTGGAATTGAAACATTAAGAATGACGAAAATCATCATTATTGCAACAAACATTCATTAACTGCTGCAGATTCAAAAGTCAAGAAAGTAAAGGACCTTTTTCCACACCTTCATGTGTATAAGGCATATAGGGCTAGACCTATATTTTATAGACCAATCAGCACTGGATGGGTGAAGTGGTTAACATTATGCTGGCCACCTTCACTTCCCAGGAGTTTACCTGGTTCCCATGTAAGGCTGGGTCAGCCTGGGAACCAATGTCATTTTTGAAGACAAAAATGTCCGGCTATGTTTGAATTTGAACCCTCAGTCTTCAGATCCACAGGTTGAGTTCCCAGCTGCTACACCACAGCAGCTCCTGCCACCTCTCAGATTAGAAGCAACTAAATGTAAGAATCAATCACCAGTATGGATTTTTAAAGGGTGAAATTTGGTGGTGGTGGTGGGGCCTTAAACAAATTGCAGTGAATAAAGCAATGAGGATAACATGTGAGACAGAACTATGAGAAAAGATGACAAGGCTGTGACTAGAATATTCTTGCACTGAAAGTCAGGGCAACAGAGATTAGAGACCTGAACACAGGTGATATTTAGACAAGTCTCTCATGTCTCTGTGTCCCACCCTGCTGGGTTCTCTTGGGTTTGTGATGTCTGTAGAAATCAATAAATACGTTGTGGATGGCCTAATGTTGAATAAGTTTATATTTGTGACATTTTCAACCATGTTTGTTATTTGTTGGTTGCATTAAACAAGCCACCACAGACTCTTCTGTGTTTCAGATCAAGTTGATATAATGATGATATTGTTCACAATAGTTGTGTTTTGCATAGCTGTTTCACTACAGAATTTTACAGTGGAAGATTTTTGTGTTTCACATTTACTTGTCAAACTAATTTTTTTATTCCCCATAACGGATTAAGTTGATGTCTTGCACTTGCTTGTTGAGTTGACAAAATTTTACATGACAGAACTATAATAAAACCTGACAACACCTTAACTAGAATATTCTTTTACTGAAAGACTGTGAATACAGGTTCTCCTGGTTATTGGATGGGAGGTCTGC